TCGATCAACTAATTTTTAGAGCTTAAAAAAATAATTTAAGAATTTAATAGCCTTGATAAAATTTAAAAAGTTAAATAAATCTCATAAGTTCAGAAATAGATTCAGCTGAAGCAATCTTTCATTTCATGAAAAAATTTTGCTACCTGAAAATCCTTAAGATATTTCCCAATTCCTCCTAAGTGGAAAGTTAGACATTTTCAAAGAGGAAATAACATTTTCTGTTCAAGTTAAATTGAAAGTCGTTTTCTGATTGTCTCCATGGTCGCTTTTACGAGGAGAGCATGCTGTTTTATGCTTCATCTTCAGCACCCGGCACCAAGGTGACACCATTCCTGCTTGACAGAACTCGTTTATATGCTTATCAACGTGGAATAGCAATATATGGATGCATTTATAACCTGGTCAGACATTTAATGTGCTGAAACCGCAGCCACTGTTGTGGCTGACACGTTATGGAAGGTAGGGAGGTAGTTGTGTCATGGCCCTTTTCATTCTCTGTCTAAATTTGGGACAAGTACAAGGAAGCAGGAAGACAGGTGCTGGTGCCAGTTCGTCTTCAGGCTGGTGCTTTCACCATTCAGCGTTAGAGTGCTTGCGACCTCGAAAGATTAGAGCAAGCTCTGTAAGTAAAATTCAACTTTGTTTTCGATGCCGCTGGTAACAAATGACAATTTAACTGTCACGGATCCATGTAAATTGTTTTCAGTACCTCCAGTACCTGAACAGTGTTACCACACCAGGTAAATCAGCAGAGTGGCATGAGATTCAAAACAAGCTTCCTCCCTGTTATTTCTTTTCTGTTTCACTTAACAAACGACTTGTAAATAACACCGCTCATCATTAGTCTAACCGATAACGTCATTATCTGCGCAAGGGACTGAATGCGTGATTTAAACACTGCTATTGCATACTTGCACGCACATGTTATTTCTGAGATATACAAAGAAGATACCCCAGCCCCTACACACGCACATGCACATACTATCGCCATCGTTACGACGGTATTCATGTTCGAATTCATCATAATTGCCATTGCTTTGTCACCAAACCGTTTCAAGATCGACGTAAAGTGATAGATTAATTTTTTATCAGTGACGGAAGATTGAAGGGGATCTAAGGACTGATTTTAAATTAAAACTCATCAATATTAAATATGTGTAGATGAATGTTTTCGTTTTATTGTTTAAATAATTCAGCTCAGAATGAGCAAATGCAGGACTACTGCTGAAACAGCAACAAGATCTGCCACAATCTTAATTTTCAAAATGTCACGCTACCTAATGACTGTCCCCTCCGTTAGATGACTAGCATTAATTTGGCTCCGGGATCAGGGGTTTGATTTAAACCGGTCAGGTGGTGTTATCATGACGGTAACCTTGCAAGCAATGGGGATACAGTTTACGAAGAGACGCAAACTCAAACACTCAAATATTTATTAATAATTGTTAAGGCGTAGTCGAAGTAATAATGCTAAATTGGCCGCGTAAGTTTTTCCTCTCTCCGTTTATCTTGCTATTTGTTGGTTATGCTGTAACCATGTCTGAAAGCCCTTTTCTCCGGTTTTTATTTGTTCGAACAGTGTTGCACTTCAGTACACCGTATTCTGCAACAGCAGTGCCGTTATTCGCTGTTCAGTGTTTTCTGATTTCTTCAATGTAACTCTCTCCTGAGGTGCAATACTGACAACATTTCCGGTTTACTCTTGTTTTGGTATAGTACCTTTCGTAAATAGGAAGCTGTGTAGCTTGTTTGCAAAATTGCCTGCCGTTTAACTCCGTATCTGGACATAGATCGTTGGAACGAGAGAGGGCAATATTCTATGAGGTAGCTGTTCAGTTATCGATCGATTCCGTTGAACTATTCATGACGGTTTTCACATGTAGGCTTTGTTCTAGTCCGTTGACTGGTTGCCGATTTTCCTGTAATGAGTTAGATTTCCCACACTTTACCGTGTAAAGTCTGCAGGAACAACCCAGCTTCTGAAGAAAAGCAACCTCACCACCTTTCACTCAGGCTGATTCCAAATTAGGCTCAATACTTTACCGCTAGGCTGAAGAGGTATTATTGATTGTTTTCTTTTAATATGAGTTCGTAGTTTCAACCGCGTCAGATTTCAGTAATTTTCACAACTTGCATCTAAAGTCATTTTCAAAAGGAAATGCTGATAGCATAAAATAATTACAGTTATATTTAATGAGGCGCAAGTTTTAAAAACCATCTCATGCGTTTGGTTCGCTTTCATAAACATTAACCTTATATCAGCGCATGAAATATGGTTGAAATCTAAGTTAAGCGGTTGGTTTAAACATTTATGCTGTCGATGCCTTCAGAAACCGCATCATTAGCAAATTCGAAACAAACTACTTATCTACTTTCGAAATAAATAAGTCACAACTTTTCATTTCAATTACTGATGCCCGGTGTACGCTGCGAAAACGCAATGCCTTCTTGAATCTAGTGACCCATGGGACCATTCCTTGAGTAGCAATTGGTAAATAAAATGTTTACCGGTCGTTTACCTTATATCAACTCATCGAGCGAGGGAGACGATACCAGCTTTCTTTCTGACCCCCTTTGTTGACTACAGGAAAGAGTTCGACACTGTGACTACAACATAGCGTGGATTGCATTGGCAGAACTGGGCAAGACACCCGTTACACCAACTTGTAAACGGAAGTGAACCCTATCTGTTTGAGAAACGTGTCGTACTGTTCGACAGCCCGCTCAGGATTCCCGTAGGGAAGGGCGTTAAACATCTGCCCAGACTCTTCACTGCCAGTTTGGAAATGGTGCTGCGGAGGATAAACTGGAAGTGGTGAACGGCTCAGTCACATGAGGTTCGCTGACGAGTGGTGTTGCTTGCTGAAAACGCCATTTAGCGCCAAGTCATGCTGCATGAACTCGAGTGAAGCAGTGCAGAAGTTCGGTCAAAGACGAAGATACTGGAGCAGATGCCCTGCCAAAGGCCAGGGTAATATTAAACGGCTTAAAGATATAAGTTAATAAATATAAGTTCTCCTCGGAAACATCAAGAAAGCACTCCATGTCAACTTCTTGAATTCGACCGGCATGGCGATAGTGCTGTATGGCTGTAAGATACAGTAACTCATTAAAGCTGAAGAGTGCCAGTTATGAAATGGAATCTCATGTTGCAAACAAGTTCTCAACATCGGGATCACACAGCAGACGGAAGTGAAGAAGGTCATCGTCGAAAGCAGAAAGGAGATGCCGCGGTAGACCGGGCACGTAGCTAGGCTCGGAAACGGGAGATGTGCGATGCTGATCGTGGACTGGTACCCTCGAGGCCCTATTAGACCGCTTGGTCACCCACTACGTTGGGAGAGAGAAGGTATTAATGAGTGATGGTGATGGTGATGAATTAGAGCCCCGTCCTCAATATCGCCGAGAAAAACTCACTGAAATTTGGATTGCTCTGGGTCATATTGAAACGGCCTTTGATTTCCTACCTTAACCATCGCGTTCCTATTTGTCTGAATGCCATATTAAGAGCAACAGATGACCTTCCTGTTCTTAAACAGCACAACCCTGACTTCAGCTGTATGCAAATAGGATTATGAACCATTGATTACATCGGCTTGCCTGTTCATAATCCCAACACAGATTGTGTTCTTTCTCTTATTGTTGTCCTAATGCTGTTCGTGTTATTCCGCTTCTCAGAAGAAATCAATATTTACTTTCTACTGCGGAAGCTTCTTCCACAGAACCATTTTGCACGTTTAAAAGGTACGACGGATAAGGAAACTGCTATTAAATTTCGAACAGAAGGAACGGCCACTGTTTGTGTTCATCTGCGAAGAAAGGGTGATAAAAAATCTACTTTCTGAGCACAGCGTGTCGATTTGTGGAAGATGTCAAGAAAGGAAACGAAAAGACAACAGTGACGCCGTTTAGAACATAAGATTTAAGAAATGCCGCCTGAGGGTTTTCCTCAAACATGTTCGTCTTGTCGTCATCTGCCTGAAGGAGAATAACATTTTTCATTGTTAAAATTATGACATACTTCTGAACGTCTTGCGAACGGTTCACTTGCTTAGAGTCGTAAGAACAGTCAGCCAAATGTGGATAGCCAACGGGAGTGAAAGGGGCATTCGATCAAACCGGCGCCACAGGCATGACAAACGGATTACTCTCGCTCCCTGACATTTACTCATCAGTGGTTTATGCTAATTATCGATTTGAGTTTTACGTTATTCTTGACGTTTGTTTTTTAATAATGTTTTTGTTTTGAGTTGGAGGATGCGAGCGAGTTACACAGGCTCAATCAGTGAAGTAGCGAGAGAAATAACACGTTCGCGATGAATAATTCGTATGTGCATGCTCAATGGATATAGGTTAGTAAATTCGCGTGGATTGTAATCGATTAATCATATCTGGCCAGAAACTACGCTTGAGCGAAGTATGTGAACTGGCCATGAATTCATCTTTGGATTTTTAGCTGGTTGCGTCGCCCCTCGCGCCTCCTCCGTAGTCGACGCCAGAGGCTCATCTCCTGACCATCGATCTTGTCCCCTTCTTTTGTCGCCTTAGAGCGACGACGACCACTTTTTTGTCGCGTCGCCGTGTGTCGGGCGTCAGCTGATCTGATCGGATCCGATCTGCTGCCAGCACGCTTACCCAAGCGTTCTTCTTCCGTCAGGTCCGTCGTTGCGTCCTGTTTGCGCACGCTGTCGTCTGCTGCTGTCGCTTCGCCCGTACGGCTGTTCTCTCGTCCAGCGAAGCGGAACACGCAACCCAACCGCCCAGCTGACACCCATCTTTCAGTGGCCACTGAGACTCGTTGAGGATTACGTACCGATGTCTTGCTGTCACGTCATTCATCGATCCTCAATGAAGATCAATCACCAGGGGACCCTCTTCCTCATGATGGTGGTCATCGTATGTGCTCTCTGTGGCTGCTGCAATGCCTTCAACGTCGACCTCAAGAGTCGTCTGGTGCACCGCGGCGAGGGTCGTTCGATGTTCGGCTACGACGTGGACATGTACCAGGGAAGAAGCGGAGTTATGTCGTAAGCGTGCCCCCCCCCTCCC